TCGAATATAGCTATCGGCAAAATGAAACGGTCCATCGGCAAAATGACTGCCGGCGAATAAATATGATTGTCAACAATGAATTGTCGCTAAAAAACCTGTAGGTGAACAATTGCCAATGAAAGGCCATCGGTGAAAGCTGCTCGCGGAATGCTCAGGCTATTCAGTTCCAAACTGAAATTAAAAAGCAGAAAGAAAGAATAAACTCTGAACATCGATGTCGACATTGTTAGCGAAAAATGGGTAAATGGTTATCGACGAAACGACGTCTCCCGTACTAATCATCCTCTGAATGAAGTATCGTTAAAGAAATGCATAATCCGTGTCAATGTTAATTTACCTACCATTGCTAGTCCAAATAATATATGCTGTGTTAATAACCTTTCTAAAAAACCAATCTCTTAATACGTATTGAGGTTGGAAAGACTTTATAAAGGTCAATCGGCATTTCTTTAGGATAACCGAATCATCTGTCATTCTGATTTTACTATTCTTATTACTATTGAACGGCTGAGCAAATGACAAGGATAGACTAGATTTCCTAATTTGCGAACGACCTCTTTGCAAATTATTGATGTGATTAATGTTCCTGATCTAAACAGATTATGTACAAGTAATTGTCCTTTTTATCTTAACCCAAATATAGACACAAGATTCCACACTAATACAGAAATACAAAGTTTTTTGTGTCAGTCGTCTTGTGACTAGAGACCAACATACCAATTCGGCATTATGCACAATCGTGCTTTCGCTTCACACAATCCAGCTCCGAAACAATTCGGAAGACATACTTAATTAATCTGGATGACAAGGTTAAAATATGACATAAAGATTACAAATGCAATTCTTATAGGATTGTCCTCAATAACAAACATACATTGCATATATACAAGCACTCCTCGAATACACACAGCTAGTTACCGTAGACCTACATACGACAGTTATATATTAGCATTATGCATTTGGCGTATATACAGTTAAACGGTCTTCTTCACATCATATCCATCGAGAAGGGAGAATGATTCTAAACATTCCTGATTGTACTTTCTGAACAGGATCATTCTTTTTGTTTTCACAGATCAATTGTCGTACGCTTTTATACACTAGTCCAAATTAGTGTATTGGTTATTTGAAAAGGCAGACAGAACATGCTGTACGACCATAAAAGTGTCGGTGTCTCATTTCTTATTATTTCATTACTATTAACGTATTTGTACAAGGGTACTGGTGATAATATTTTTATTGTCTCTTGTCTCTTTTAACAGTCCATGAAAAACGGCAAAGGAATGTTCTTTAGCATTCAACAGTACCCGAGGAGTTTATTGAACTACTCATTCACTGTGTTTTTTTCTACAAAAACTGACCATGATGCTGTGTTTCATGTTTAACCGCATCGACGGAGCAAAATAACCATTAACGACCATTCACTAGTGGCGCTGTTGTACCTCAGTTGGGGACCTGTCTGAGTTCCGAACTGAGAAAATTGAGTTCTGGATTGAGTGACACGGAGACAGGTCCCGAACTCATGTATTGTGACACCATGTGATATGCAACTTCGCCAAAGTTCAAGATTAGATACATCACGCGCACTTGATATATTGGACAATAAAACTACAAATACAGCCAATTTTGAATAAGTGTTCTCTTCTACAAAATCAAAAAAAAAAAAAGCGCTGTACACTCCCCTACCAAAAGTCTCCCAAATCAAATAGTAAAGCATATGAAAAATCTTTATTTCAATAAAGTTGTTATCGTCCGTATTTACCATGCAAGTAACAATGTGATGAGAGCATCTGTCTTAGGATTTGCTATCGTACGGTGTTATTATATAATTATTACATACGTAGATAAATGACACAACGAGAACATCTTATTATCTAAATTCATGACTTTCATATATTCTTATAAATGCATAATAACAATAACCTCAGGTTATCAATTCACACTACGGTCGTGTTGGTGATGATTAATTCTAGCTGCAAAAAATTTGGCATAACCTCTCAATTCTTCTGTAGTCTAAGAATTTATAGTTGTATTAAACACTGTTCTAATAACGCAAAATTGTTTGTCATAAACTTACCATGCGTTTGAGGCCTTGTTTGTCAATACAATAATTTACCACAGTTTTACACTCATACTCAAAGACAAGTTCTTGTGTCAACTCATCTACAATGTCGACCGACCTTTCTAACATGGGGGAAAGCTGTTCTCCTTTGTAGTCTGCACCTTTTACTGCCACTTTTTGTTTTTTCGGATGCTCAACCACCATAATAGGGTTATATCCTGTAAAATCTAACTCTCTAGGAACTGTTCTACGTTTTCGACCGCGCGACAATCTTGAAAAAGACTTTGAACCTTTTTTGAGTGTTTTGAGACATATTGAACATAAATCTAACAGATAAGTGATTCTTACCATAGTCGCTAGCTCGCTCGTCGACTGTTAATTAGGTGGTATAAACGTATTTTAGTTGTATCGATATTTAAAGTTAATCAGAACAGATAGAGTAATTCTTACCATCGCTAATTCTTTTCTATTAATGTCATCCTTTGCAACAAACCCTATGTCATTTTCATTGGGGTCTCCGACGTGGACCAACTCTTTTGACAGATTTTCCAAACTGTCTGTTACAGGTAACATTTTTTTACACTTTGAACAGTCTTTTTTTCCCGATTTTTTCGTTCTGGTTGATTTCTTATCAACCACCATGACTGCACTATTTCCTGTAAAATCTAAAGAAATCTTTGGCTTACGTCCAGGTTTACGGTGCATAATTACGTTGACATGGTTTAAACGATGGGCTGGCGGGTAGCATTTTATAAACGTTTATGTGTCGTACACGATGCTGACGATTTATATCATGAATGCGGCTTCTTAATAGTGAATATATAAATAGTTCAAATAAAGCCTAATATAAGACAGCTATTCTAAAAATATGGTTTTATTAAATGGGATTGTTTTAATGGGTAGGCATTTTTAGTCTAACGCAAGCTCAGTATAAAATACGCCATCCGCGCGGAACTTTCCGAGTCGCAGACGAATTTGTTGATTTATTGCAGTCCAAATAATATATACTGTGTTAGTAACCTTTCTAAAAACCCAATTTCTTAATATTTATTGAGATTAGAAAAATTTTGTAAAGGTCAATCGGCATTTCTTTGGGATGACCGAATCATTTTATAACTTTATAACAGAAATATATTAAGCACTAATTAATTTTGATAACAAACCGAAACTACGTTTGTGAGATAAAGCAAGTTATCTGTCATTCTGATTTTACTATTCTTATTACTATTGAACTTAGTTATGTTATGGTTGAGCAAATGACCAAGGATAGACTAGACTTCCTAATTTGCGAACGACCTCTTTGCAAATTTTTGATGTAATTAATGTGTTGTTTCTATAAATAAATAAATAAACATATACATATGTATTAATAATAGGTTCCTGATCTAAACAGATTATGTACAAGTAACTGTCCTTTTATCCTAACCCAAATATAGACACAAGATTACACACTAATACAGAAATAGACAAAGTTTTTTGTGTCAGTCATCTTGTGACTAGAGACCAACATACCACTCAATTCAATTCGGCTATTAAACTTTGTATCATTCGATTAACACAACAGCCTCTCAGTCAACAGAAATTCTAAATTAATTGGGAATGTTAAAAAATAACATACAGTGCGACTCAAAATCACGGACCACCCCTAAACAAATAGTAAAGCCTTTATTTTCGAAAATCTCCACTGGCCGTAATTTAGCATATAAATACAAACAGTGGAGATTTTAAAAGACTTTTTCTATTTGTACTAGGGTGATTTGACTTTTGAGTCGCACTATAAGTAACATTATATACATGACAAATTTATAAATACGATAACTACATTACTGTGAACAAAAAATTTTAAACTAAACAACATATGTTTGGGTAATGTAAGTTAGTAATAATATTATCGAGCAGTAATTTACAAGAGTTTGGTTTTCTTACGTTTATTATGTACATTAGAAACTAAGTTCTGTCAAATAATATTTATGCCAATACTCTAAAATCTGTCACAGTGGCGGAGGCGTGGCCGTGGTGTACGAACAAAATTTAATTATTAACAATAAACAAAAGAAAAGCATTGTGAAAGGCTTGCTTTGGATGTCACACATTTTCTTCAATATTGATCGAATCGTCCAATCTAGCTAAATATATTGGTTTTCTTTGTCAATGAAGTTGTACATAGCAAGTTAAACCCTTATTGTAACCGACGACTCCCATAATGGCCGGAGATTGTCCGAATAATTGATTATTATACACATATTACATATCTTTAAATGAGAAAATAGTTTGCAGTAACCATTGCTCGTCTCTAAAGTCGGAGACCACCGCAGGGTTAAATCAACAACAATTGCTATAAGACAATAGTTATATGAAAGGTACAAAATTTCAATCTGAACAACACAAACCTTATTCAAACAAAGGGCTTTAAATTTTAATTGGCCGTTCGAATTTAGAAGCGCAAGAAGCTTCTTTGAGTTCTAACTTCTAATTAGTAACCTATTATATAAATTTGGAGAGGCTAATTAGCGAAGCCGATCAATAACTTTGGTCCGTGTTTTATCTGGGTGATTGGCGTGTATTTTATACAACAAATGTTCAATTAAATAATTTGCACATCCATCATATTTTTAAAAAACCAATTTTATTGGGGGTTTTCTCTTTTCGATTAATTCTCTATTAGAAACAACGGCAAACCTTTGGATGGCGTTTTCAAAAGAAATAGAACAATAAAATTTACACAAATGTAACAGAAAATGGTGTCTATGCATCAATAGTTTACTCGCACGTTGCATAATAAAATACGCCATTCAAACGCGGCTTGCCAAACCGCAGACGAATTGTTAATGTTATTGCAGTCCAATAATATATACTGTATTAATAACCTCTTAAAAATTAACCAATCTCTTAAAACTTATTGAGATTGGAAAGATTTTATAAACGTCAAATCGGCATTTTTCGGGATAACCGAATCATTCATAACTTTATAACAGACACATATCTTAACCATTACACATTCTATAATAATAATAATAACAAACCCGAAACTACGTTTGTGAGATAATATGTGGAGAGCAAGCTAAATCTTCATTCGGACGATTCTATTTTCACGTGATACCGTGCAAGTAACACGCCCGGAAGATCGACTCCGAATGAATGAACTTTATTAGCATTACCAGTTACCGTCTTCTCTCTTTTTTACCAGAATGTTTAAATTTGCGACTAGTTTCGAAGAAATACGTTTTCCTTTGGTCAAAGCAACGGAAAAGTGCTATAGTCTTTTTCTTTGTATACGTCGCCCTTTTAATCGAGAAATTATTACAGCTTTGGACTTCTTTTTTTAGTCGGTAAGCCTTTGGCACAAATTCAATAATAATCGGGCTTTTATTTATTGTGTAAACTTTTTTGTTTACCACACGCTTCCAACGTATGATAAATATTTCTTTTGATTTGTTTCTTACGTTATAGAGGAAAAGCTTATACCCACTTTAGTTATGGCTGAGCAAATGGCCAAGGTATACGTGTCGATAGACTCGACCTCCTAATTTGCGAATGGTGCAACGTCCATTTTTCTTCTTCAAAAACTTTTGGTTATTATTAATTGTAGCAACTTCTTGTCGGTTGATGTATTTGTTTTTATAAATAAATCATGTGGTATTTGATAGAATTGGTACTACAACATACCCTACTTTCATTCATGGCAATTGTCGTACACATGAGCATAAGGCTTTCTCGAAACACTTTCTAGATGCGTCAAAAGAATTTATCTGTTATCTTCAGATGATATAATTAAGGGGGGTAGTTGCAGGACTGACCAATGAGAAAATGTTATATCTCTGATGGTCCAGAACATAATTCTATTTCGGTATGGTGTTTAACTGTTATTACCTGGAGTAAGATTTTGTGTCATGTGATACACAACCTTATTAAGATCACTAGAGATAGATAACGACTTTGGCTAATATCCGCTTGAGCAAAGATCCGACTTACAAAAAAATTACTTGACTTTTTTATCATCTCAACTAAACTTATTACTGAGAACATTAAATACTTGACGATCAAAGCTATCGATAGTGGCTACGAAACATGGGGACACAGTGTCGAATTCTCATATCTGCACATAATAACAAGCCCCCTAATATTCAAGGAGATTTGCAGATCATGAATACGGTAATTAAGGAGAATGCCGTATTAATTACACGTTGTTACATGGCTTTGATCTCCTGATTTTGCAATTGATGTTTAAGATAAACCCCGCGAGAGAGTAACTCGCCAATTGGTAAAACATTGACTATAGTTTAAGTTTATATACTTAATGCTCCCGTATCGTTATCCAGCGTATTGTCAAAGAATGATGTTCACATAAAATATGTCAGACGGAGAAGCTTTGTTGGTACGCTTTATATATGCGCTTTACAAACCCTGGTATTTGAAAGTATCAGTCGTAAACACGTTAATATATGTCCGCTGATTAATGAAATTAATGTTGTATGCCTATAATTTTTTTTTTTACTTTACAATCTCTGCTCGATTGATGTTGGCTTAATTCATTCGCTGGCCGCCGTTGAAAGTGTGAACTAATATGACAAATATTAATATGATATATATGTAACATTGGACCTCGCATATTCTAACGATAAGTTTTCCCGTACTAGGTTTTAATCATAGTTATCTTTTTAACATTCTCCAGTATTTAACAGAAGTTTTTTAGGCAAATCTGACAAATAAAAAATAACGCAAAGCCTTTTTCACAAGAGAACAGAACTTTATATATATCTAAAATGTAATAACTCGATCATTTACCATCTAAATTGAACACATGCAGTAGAAATATCTTTAATGTTATAAACATTTACAAAGAGCGTACGTTTTATATTTTATATTATTTATATTATTTATATTATTTTGTTTTGTTTTATTTTGTTTTATTTTGTTTTGTTTTGTTTTATCTATTTTAGCAGAAGATACACGATTTAATTGTTATAGATTATCATGACAGATCTTGTTTACAATATTTGATGATAATGTTACAAAATTCTATCAAACATGAATAAAAAGCCAGAAGCACAAAAAAGAATGATCCTTGTTCGTTTCCTCGCATCGGGAAGTACGACCAGGAATGTTTAAAGTCATTCCCCCTTCTCGATGGATACGATGCAACATCGCACCACCATATTACGCTCAGAAGGGGTGAATGACTACCCACTATTATGAAAATAAAATACATAAGATTATTAGTCGAATACGTGATCAAAGGTCAGCATGATAGGTATTTATTGGTATATTATACTTATGCGGGAGAGACATACGCAGGCGTACAATCAAATACGTGCCAGACGTGTATAGCACTGATATACCAGCAGATACCTATATCATTTGACAGCAGCAATAACAACCAATATCATAACTAAAATTACGTACTTCCAGGGCGTAGCGCATTGTGCCTGGTCTTATATAAAAAGCGTTACAGAGTTATAATGAGCAACTTAAACATTTTAGAACAAGAACAAATCGTAAACCTTCACATCATATCATATCATATCGTATCATATCGTATCATATCATATAACTACCTTTCAGGTTCAAATTAA